TGTTGCTAATAGTTAATATCCATGCTTTGTTTTCATTTCTGCAATGTGTTAGGCTTACCTGGTCGTAGAGACTAGGTGCCGTCACTACAGTTCACGGAGGGAGGAATTGGGTCGTGAGAAGTTGGTATCAGAGCTCTAGGTTCATAGGAGTCGTGAGTCACAAGCTGGTTTATTAGAGTCTCGCGGATCAATACGGAAACGTCTGTACTTATCTTCGAGAGGCTATGGAACTGTTAGGAAAATTCCAGTTCATTTGATTCCTTGTCGTGCGAGATTATTGACTTCGAAAATACTAAACTTCTGTCTTCTATTCTCTCACAGATGGTGAGGACACGTGCTTCCGTAGATGACCAGGCACCCGCGCCCCCTGCTAGAGCCGCCAGAGGCCGGGGCTGGGGTAGAGGCCGAGGACGCGCACGTGGTGTAGCTAGAGCACCCGCGCGAGTTGCTACAGAGGAGCCACCGGCAGCTCCAGCTGGAGCCCAGGCGCCTGATACACCTACTACTACTTCTACTCCAGCTCTCCAGGAGACCCTTGCACAGTTCATGAGTATGTACATCACTTTAGCTCAGGGAGGGTTGATTCCCCTTGCTGCAGCCACATCTCAGGCCGGGGGAGGAGCACAGACTCCCGCTGCCCGCAGCCTAGAGGAGCGGGTTCATGTTGATCAGATCCCAGAGGTTATACCGGTACTGCTTGTAGCCCCAGCTCAGCCTGAGGGTAGGGCAGCAGTTTCAGAGGAGGAGCAGCGCAGGCTTGAGAGATACAAGAAGTACGACCCTCCTACATTCAGTGGTCTAGCATCATAGGATGCTCAAGTATTTCTGGAGGAGTGCCACCGTATCCTCCACACTTTGGGCATAGCAGAGTCGAGTGGGCTTTCTTTCACTGCCTTCCAGCTTCGAGGGGCATATCAGTGGTGGCGTACTTTTGAGTTGGACAGTCCGGCTGAGGCAACTTCTCTTACATGGACCCAGTTCTTGGATATATTTTTGAGGGAGTATGTCCCTTAGAGCCTCAGGGACGCATGGTGCGCAGAGTTTGAGCATTTGGGTCACGTAGTATTGAGTGAAGGGATCACTTTGGAACTCCCGCACATTTATGTTTGGGACTACAGTACGGTATCCTTGGAGATCCGCTGTATATTTACGTTTGGGACTATGGGACGGTATCCCGGGGGATCCTTGTTGCTATCTCTGTGTACTGAGTTATTATTTTTCTATGATTTCACTCTAGTTGACTGTTAGTATTTATCTTCAGTGCGATATTTCATACTATTTTATCCTATTATATATATAAACCAGTAGGGCCCTGACCTGATCCCGTCACTACTCGGCCGAGGTTAGGCTTGGCACTTACTGGGTACCGTTGTGGTGTTCATGCCCTTTCCTGCACATATTTTTCGTGTGCAGATTCAGGTTCATCCTACAGCCTCATCACTGATTGCAATCGTTGGTGCCTGTTGGAGACTTCAAGGTACATCTGCCCGCGCCCGTAGATCCTCGGAGTCCCCCTCTATCCCCTTATGTTCATTTCTTCTTCTTTCTGTAGAGATGATATATAGAACAGTTAGAATATCTTAGTAGCTTGTCACTTGCGAATTTTCAGGTTTTGGGTATTGTTCGGTACTTTTCTGGAAGTGATAATTGTATATGCTGTGTGGCATTTAGTTGCTTAATGGATAGTCGTGTTGCTAATAGTTAATATCCATGTTTTGTTTTCATTTCTGCAATGTGTTAGGCTTACCTAGTCGTAGAGATTAGGTGCCATCACGACAGTTCACGGAGGGAGGAATTGGGCCGTGACATCCTAAATCAAATCTAATTTGTAGAATTGAATTAATTATCTATATTTAACATTAAAATAATTAATTAACTTAAAACTAATTAAAGAGAAATACTAATTTTTTAAACTAAAAGCTAAATATGTAAAAATGACCATTTTTTTATTTTTGTTTGATTATGCAATTAACTCGTATATTTAAATCATCAAATGCAAATAAGATCTGGAATGCTATGCAATGAAATGTTGAACATTTTTTTTGGTATTTTCTATGATTTTATGATATTAAACGCGCAACTAAATGCAAACAATTAATTAATAGAAATTTCCTAAAAATTCTATTAGAAATTAAAATAATTAGAAAAAATCTATTTTTTGTGAATTTTGTAGGAGTATTTTAATTGGGAAAACATGATGTGCTCAAAATGTGAAAAAAATTAGGAAAAATAATTATAAAAAAATTATGGACTATTATATAATATAATAAAGATATAACAAAAGTTAATAATTAAATACTTTTAAATGAAAGATTTATTTAAAATTTACTATCATAGCAGTCTTAGTGGATAACATGCAATAATTTTTATTTTAATTATGACATAAAATACTCTAAACATATTGATTTATGATTAAGCAAAAAGTAATTTTGAATAGTCAACGATTTATTATGAAAATTTAAGGATTTACAAGGTTAGTTACACATAATTGCATAAAGTTCTATTAGGCGAGTCTAGTACTCTGGGCGTTGGGCGGCTGAGGCGCAAGTCTCATGGAACTAATCTCCACACATATGCCCAGGGGCGTTTTACGAGTGCTCCGCCCCAAGGCGAGCTCGGGCGAGTCCCAATTCTGCCTTTTAAAACAGCGGTACTAGAAGAGCTTAACTATTATTTGGCACAATTGGTAGTTATAAAATAGTGTGTTTATTTAGATGTCTCGCGGGGGATTCTGGACTTATGCTACGCTTTTATATGGAGTGCAATGGGGTGGAGTATATATGTCGTGTATATACATATTTTTGGTTAAAGTATGCTATTGTAGCACTTCTTCTGTCTTTGAATTTCGAGAATCAAATTTCTTAATTTTAATCGTGAATCGATTATAGATTCTTTAAACCTTTAAAATAAAATTTATATATTTAAAAACTATATAAAAAATAGTATAAGTCATAAGAATAAGGACGAAGGGAGTATTACTTTTCTTTTGGTGCCTTAAAAGATTGTCTATTGTTCATTCTTAAACCCCTTGAACTGTTGTTTTTTCGTCTGACAAGGTGATTGTTTTGGTTTTTGAACTAGTCTAGTTACTTGGTCAAGAAGATTGGTTACTTGGCCACCAAAACTAGTTACTTTGTCACCAAGCAACTCTATTATAAATAGGAGACTTCTCTACTCATTTGTATTAGAACATCATCAAGAAAAGATCTAATATTATCTCTCTCTAAATTTCTCTTGTGTTACTTTATTTCATATTATTCTATAACACGTTATCAGCACAAGACTCTACCGTCTCAAGAAGCTTTTTGAGAAGACTAAGTTATAATTTTTCTCCTCTTTTAATAATGCTTGATATTATGAAAAGAAAGTTCGTTGCCCTTAAAATTTTGGGCAAGAACTATATGTCATGGGTATTGGATGCTGAAATCCATTTAGATGCAATGGGTCTTGGAGGCGCCTTAAAGATAAAAATAAAGCATCTACCCAAGACTGTGCTAATGCCTTTATTTTCTTGCGCCATCACCTTGATGAAGGATTGAAAATAGAATATCTCACAGTCAAAGATCCACTTGTTTTGTGGAATGACTTAAAGGAAAGATATGACAACTTAAAGTTGGTCACACTTCAACAAGCATGATATGATTGGGCTCATCTAAGGCTCCAAGACTTTAAGTCTGTTTCTGAATATAATTCTGCGATGTTCAGAATTACTTCTAAATTAAAACTCTGTGGAGACAGTATCACTGACTATGATATGCTTGAAAAAGTGTTCACAACGTTTCATGCCTCCAATATGGTCCTGCAACAGCAATACAGAGAGAAAGGTTTCAAGAAGTACTCTGAGTTGATTTCTCTTCTCCTTGTGGCTGAACAAAATAATGACTTGCTCATGAGAAATCACGATTATCGACCCACCAGGTCTACCCCATTGCCTGAAGTGGATGAGGTGTATTCCCATTATGCTAAGCATGGAAAAGGTCGTGGCCATATTCGTGGCCGTGGCCGTAGCCAAGAAAGAAATTTTCCTGGTGTTAAGCATCCCCCAAAGAAAAATAACCACCAAAAGTGGAAAGGGAAAAATGAGAAGCCAAAGGCAACGGGTTCAGAAACTGAATGCTATCGTTGCGGTGGAAAAGGGCATTGGGCAAATATTTGTCGTACACCAAAATATTTGGTTGAGCTTTATCAAGCATCTCTAAAGAATAAAGGCCCATAAGCCAATTTTGTCTCTGACAATGAATTTGACATCACCCACTTGGATGTGGGAGACTTCTTTGAGCACCCTGATGAAAAAATAGACCACTTGATCGGTAATGGATCCGTGGTTAATGATGATTGAGTAGTTTGGTTTTTATTTTCGTCTATTTATAGTGGCTAGTGAATAAACATCATATAATCATAGTTCTTTACATGAGTACTAGTTATTAGTATCATAACCAGAGTTGCTCGAAATTGCATTTAAAAGGTCATTAGTGAATCATTAATTTAACTTTGTTTCTTTTTCCTTTTTCACTGAAAATACTAATATTTATTTGTATATTTCTTTTGTATGTTAAATTATGGGAAGGTAATATGGATACCTCACAAAGCAAACTGGATCAAAGTTTAATTGTAGAAATATTTGTTTAATTGCTTCATGTACGACACATACAATATTCAAAAAGAAGGAATATTTCTCTCATTTAAGTATTTATGAGGCAGATGTTATTATTTCTGTCACGATCCAAAATCCTACTAGTCGTGATGGCACCTAACCCAACCCGCTAGGTAAGCCAATTAATAATTATTCATTTCCAATGAAATTAATAAAATAATTAAATGGAAGAAATTATCTGAAACTTATACATTTCCCAAGGTAGTACAAATCATAAGCTTCTAAGAATAGTATTTACAAAGCTGATATGAAGTAAATACATCTTCTGTTTGAAAACTACATAAACAGAGTTTTATAATCTAAGGCTACCATGAACAAGAGGCAGCTACAAAAGGGACGCAGGTACATCTTCAAATCCAGCTCCATTGAATACAGCAACAACAGCAGCCAACATCTGTACACAAGGTGCAGAAGTGTAGTATGAGTACAACCGACCTAATGTACTCAATAAGTAACAAACCTAACCTTAGGTTGAAAGTAGTGACGAGATGGAACAAAGGTCGAGTCCAACACCAATAGCCAACAACAGTTCATAATAACGAAAAGCAAGTAATAAAAGAAATAACTCGAAACTCAAAATACTCAGCTTATTAATAATTCCCGAAAATAGTTCCACTCTTCAAGTATATTTGTGAAACCCCAAATCCTTTACCGAAATCGTCAAAAATATGAGTAAGTTTGAAAACTGAAAATTTTCCCAAAATCCTTTCATCAGGTAAATGTTTCATTTTCAGATAGCATGAGGAAAGTACATCTCTATGCCTACATGTCAAGATACAAGTAAAATCATGAATGTCACCAAAACCGGGAAGCAAAAGAAAATGCATCTCTATGCATGTATCTCAAGTACGCATATCAAATGCAATGCCTCTCAGTGATGAACTCATGTACTCACACTCTCAGAGTACTCAACCTCATTGTCTCGCATTATCTCTTACCGTACTTAATAACAACACACTCAATCACTCGGCACTATACAATACTCGTTGCGGCGTGCAATCCGATCTACATACATATAGCTATAAGGCTCGTTGCGGCATGCACCCGATCCATATATATATAGTTGACTGCGCTCGCTGGGGGTGTGTGCAGACTCCGATAGGGCTCCTTCAACCCAAGCGCTATAATCTGCACGGACAACTCACGTGTTGCAGGGACAACTAACGTGCAATAGTATCAAATCAGAATCCGCACGAACAACTCACGTGCCATAGTATCAATATCAGAATCCGCACGAACAACTCATGTGGCATAGTATCAATATCAGAATCTGTACGGACAACTCACGTGCTATAGTATCAATATCCTCACAATCAAGCCCTCGGCCTCACTCAGTCATCAATCTCTCTAGTCTCTCGGGCTCTCAATGTCATGAAACTAGTCCGACAATAATGATATGATGTATCAATAATTAACAACTGAGACCGAGATATGATATGAATGCATGAATATATCTGAGTACAAAATACCAATGAAATCAGTGAGATGACAGCAAGAAACGACCACTATGGGTGCCAACAATATCGGCATAAAGCCTAAACATGATATCTAGCATGATTGACAGCTCAAATACTTTATCACATGGTGAAAACAAAAATATAAATAAAATAGGACCACTATACAGTACCATGGAAACAACAGAGTCACAATTCACAGTATGCACGCCCACACGCCCGTCACCTAGCATGTGTGTCACCTCAATACCAATCACACAACATGTAATTTGGGATTTCATACCCTCAGCACTAAGTTTAGAAGAGTTACTTACCTCAAACAAGCCAATTCCAGAACCGAGCAAGCCAAGCGATGCTCCAAAAATGCCATCTCGTGCGTACCGACCTTCGAATGGCTCAAAACTAGCCAAAAGCAACTCAAATACATCAAATAAAGGTCAAGAAAATAATTCCAAATGATAAAGATCAAATCCTTAGTCAAAACCCAAAATCGGACAAAAATACACTCGGGCCCGCGCCTCGGAATCCGACGAATGTCACGAAATATGAACACCCATTCACTCACGAGTCCAACTGTCGCGCCCCCTTTTCCCTCCGCGGAAATCGGGTTTATGACATTCGGGAAGACAACTCGTTCCCTTTTGGGAATTGGGTTTTGGATTGAATTGAAGAGTCGCCACCTAATGATTTAGGTGCATTAGGACACTAAGAAGGGTTTGAGTCAAGTAACCAGAGATTGGGTAAGGGCTTAAAATTATCCCAAGGGGAAGGTGTTAGGCACCCCTCAGGATCCACTAGTGTGGTTCCCGGCCAAACTATTATTGTGATTTAAGTACAAATAACACATAGGCAAATAGGACTTCAAATAAGGGGGGATTTTTCACATAAAGGTTAGAAATAAACAAAGTCGGGAAGCATTAAAGAGAGTTGATTTAGAAGAAACGTTTAAAGGATTTAAAAGAAACAAAGAAACAAAGGGAAGGGGGGTCCTAGGTTTATTAATAATATGGATCACCCCACACAACATCCGGTAATCATTCTTACGCGTGATGTTATCGCGTATCCATATCTACCCTTTCGCACCCCGTTAAGGTATTAAAGCGCGGAATGGTCTCGTTTACTTATTGCATGCTATTACCCGCCCCAGTCCTATCAGTCCCGGAGGTACTTGGGACTACTAATCCTAAAGGGAGGGGATGTTTGGCTTATTTGTGGTTTCAAAAGGTAAAAATACTAAGGCGACAAACAAAACAGATATAGCAAGTTTGGGGAAGCATATAAACAAATAAAGGCTCAGACAGACCTCCTTTAAACCAAAGAAAGCACATAGTTTAGCATGTCTTGCACGTAATGTTTAAGGTCTAGTTAAACTTAAAAGGTTTGAGGCAGACTGATTTATTACATAGTTCAGATAAGAAGCCCGAAGCAGGTCTACCTGTTGGTTGTAGCCAATAAGATCTGATTCAGTTTATAAAATTTATCCTACAGTTTGCCTAATTGATAGACGAAAGCCTATGGGCATGATATCTACAGATTTCAGAAACAAGAATATGAACTGAACACGCACTGATTTAAATAAGGTTGCTAGTTAAAAACGAGTTTTAGAAGTGCACAAGTTCTGCCATTGGTAATACATTATTACTGCTAGTTTTAGACTTATAAACGAGTGAGGTGATTCAGATTCGGTTAAAGCTCCTATAGGCATGCTTTATATGTATTTGTTGACCTTAGAACACATTTTTATAGACATAGTAAAAAGGCAAAAACCCTATAGGCATGACATCTAAATGCTGGGTTTTATGTGAACATGACATCTGATTGCGTTTGGTTATTAAGACCAGTTTCAAAGAAACAAATAGAGAAAATGCAGTAGTCTTGTAAAAGCCACAGTGCAGACAAGAAAGAGAGTAAGAGTTCAAAAGAGATTGTAAATTGTGAAGTGGGGGATTGTTAAATCGTGTGTGCTGTGTGTTAGAGAGTCGTGTATTTATAGTGTAAAAGTCATGGGGAAATAAGGTAAGAAAATAATTGAAGAACTGATTGTCAATCAATTACACAAGACTCCCTTTAATTAAGGGATTCAGATTCAAACGGGTATAAACCAATTAAGGAAAGAAATTAATCAAACACTTTGTGCAAAGTAGGCAATTAGGGATGAATACATAAGAGTTATTTAAGGACGAGGTTTTGACAATACACGGTTTGTGCAAATAAGGTAAGGAGATCAATTAACAACNTCAGAGGTCAGAGATTTGTTATGAATGAACCGAGTCAAAAGATGGGAAAGGTTTTTAACTTAAAGGAAATTAGCAAACATGGAAAGGGAATCAATTAGACCCATATTCAGAGGGGAGTATGGACTAATTACATATTTAAAAAACTGCTTTAGAGGGAAGTTCATCATATATAAGGAGCATACAAACACGTTAAGCATGAAAGAAGACTGTAGTGTCATTGTAAAATCAGTAGAAAATTCAGTATAGAAGAGTTTAGCAAAAGGTCAGAGTCATATGAAAACAAAGAAGTCCAAACTCAATTCAAAGACTTGAAGTCAATCTGAAAGAATTAGGGGTTTCGAAATAAAACCCTAGTTCAAGCAAACCATAAAGCAGAGATGAGAGGGCAGGCAATTGAATCGAAATCATGTTTAGAAGTTTCAGAAAAAGAACAGGCTTTTTCAGCAACAGAACTCATGAGAAAACATGATAGCAAAGTAACATGCAATTACAGTAGAAGGATTCAAAGAACATAATGGCAAATACTGATAAGAACAGTAGAAAAAGCATGCTTAAGAGGATCTTTCAGGAGAAATTCAAACAAGGTTCAGTAGAAGAAAAATAGCAAAACCTTAAGAACACAGTAGAAAGAATGTAGTAGGCAAAACATAGCAGAACATAGTAGAAGAAGATACGAGAACATAGTATGGAAAACATGGTAGAAGAACATACAAGCATGAACCATATAAAACACAGTAAAAAAGAACATACAAGAACGGAGTATAAAAACTCAGTAAAAGAGCATACAAGAACAGAACACATACAAGAACGTGGTAGATAAAACACAGGAGCACAATAGAGGCAAATACATAAAAGAAAGGGGGAAGAGAAACACTTAAACATTTTTTCAGAAAACCCTAGATCGGAAAGAAAGATTTTAAAAAGTAATTTTCGAAAGAAAAGTTAGGGAAATCGTTTGAAAACTCAAAGAGAGCACAGATACCCCACAGATCTAAAGAAATCGGAGAAAACCTCAAAGGGTTAGGGTTTCAGAAGAACCCTAGAAATGAGAAAGGCTTTGAGATGTCACCGATCTGAGTCGGAGAGGTCGGAATCAGACTCAAACAGCTATAGTACGCCGGAGCAAGGCCGGAGATGACCAGAGAACCTTGAATCGATAGAGGTCTGGGTGAAAACCTTCGAAGTCAGGCTTCGAATTTTCAGGTATCAAGCACATAGGAGCAATAGGAGGTGAGTATAGGACTCCCACAGCCTGAGAAGCCATGGATTCCGGTGGGTTTCACGGTGGGAGATGGTAGGAGACGATTAGGGTTCAGAGAAGGTTCGAAAGAGTTTGAGGGGGTGAAGGGATTCAAAGGCGGCTGATAGATGAGAGTGATTTAGGGTTGGGGGGTTTGGGAAATTAAAAAGGAAAGAAGGGATCGTGGCCGTTGATTATTTTGATCAACGGCCTGGATTTATTGGGGAGCCGGGCGGGTTGGATTAAATCGGGTCATGGGCGCATAGTTTAGGAATTGGGCCGGTCCAATTGAGATTGAAATTGGGTTAATTGGAGTGGTCGATTTGGGCTAAAATTGAAATAAATAGGGCTAGATTTTAAATAGCCACTTTTTCCCTTTTTATTTTAGAAAATAGTAAAATAATTTCTGAAAACAAATTAAAGGTACTAAATTTATTAATAATATATAAATATTAAGTTAAAA